AACGGATTAAATTCCACTGTTAATGCTAGTGCTATGCTTGATGTTCAATGTAAGCGATGACTTTTTGTCGTTTTTCTAAGTATGGGGTTAAAGCAGTACGCTGTAGATGTAGGATGAAAAATGATGTTTACAACCTCGTCTACACCTTCAAGTTATGCAACCTCTATGTTAAGTGTTCTTTTCAGGGTTCTAGGGGTTGTTCAACCTGTGAACTATTAAAATTTGCAAAGAAACCGACAGCGAGTTCATAAACAAAGAGCTCTAAAAACCAACAAAACAATTCCTGTCCGCTTCGTTCGCAGTTCCACCAAGTTTAACAACTGTTCCAGTAAACCAGACCATCATGGAGGGCAAAACAGTAACATTTCATTGCACTGCCACCGGGAACCCGGCTCCAACGATAACATGGACAAAAGATGGCGAAGATGTGGAGTCTGGAGAAGTATTGAGCCTCGAAACCAGCAGGAATCAGTCTGGAGAATACGTTTGCACAGCAGAAAATGGGTTGAATTTTAACGCTAATGCCAGTGCTGTCCTGGATGTTCTTTGTGAGTACCATGCGTACAGTGAAAGACTAGACTGTTATAAACGTCGTATCTCAGTTTGAGATACGTGCGTGTTGACCGCGAAATTTACCATTAAAGCACTCTGTTCGTGAAGTATCACTATACCGTAGTTGAGTTTAGTTTCCTATCCACGGCCCCATAGGTAGAAACAGCTGGAGTTTACGTTTTACTCATCTCAGGGTATATCAATTATTACTAACAACAAACTGCAAAGGAAATTCGACGAGGTAATAGCCCATTCTAGCCCCTTCCCCCTTCTTGGGGGAAGGGGCTAGAATGTTATCAGGAGCGATTAGCAGTACTCCAAGTCCGCTTAATCGTCACAATAGGCATGCAAAATATTTTTCTCATCAAACCTGCTTATGACTAATTCATTAACTCACCCAAAAGGATAACAATACACTACCAGGTCGCTTAATTATACAGAAACTGTAACAGTAGGCAATGGAAAATTGCTGAGAAATTTATTTCAACTTAATCTATTTCAGACAAACCAAGCTTGACTACCCTTCCTTCGGATCGAACTGTCTTAGAGGGTAACACGGCAACATTCCACTGTGCAGCCGCTGGAAATCCAGCCCCTAAGATAACATGGATGAAAGATGGGAAAACTGTGTCTCAAGAACAAACATTAAATATTGAAACCCACAGAAATGATTCTGGAAAGTACTGGTGTCTAGCAGAGAACGGATTAAATTCCACTGTTAATGCTAGTGCTATGCTTGATGTTCAATGTAAGAAATGACTCTTAATATTTTTAATGAAAGTCAGAATAAGAGAGTTAATTAACGGGTTCTATAGTCTCTACACACATCATTCAGGCCTCATACCAACAGGTAAGATTTAAGTCTTGTAACCACGATCGTCGTCCAATATTCGAGCGACCGCCAAAAATCCAAATCCAAAGTAGTTGTAACGACCAATAAAATGTCTGCAAAATATCACAAGAAGAAATTAAAACCCAAAATTAAAACACGTAATTGGCTTCAGTCGCGGCGAAAGTACAAGTGACGTACTCGAAATTGGTTTCATCTTTTTGGCTTAGAGCTCAACAAGTTTTCTTGAATAGTCCAAAGTGAGATAAAAAGAACCATACACACTAAGAAAAAATTGGTCAAGCCGATCCCCGCTCACTCAAAAAAAGGAGAAAGGATAGGAAAAAAATCCCAAATAGAGACTAAAAGATCACCTCGACTTAGCGGCTTGCTAGCGATCCGGGGATTGATTTAACTGTGACAATGATTTCCACAGTACACCATGCAGACCACAGTACACCAGGCAGACCTACGAAAATTGACAATTTGCTTTTCTTGTAGTTCCGCCAAGTTTAAAAACCACTCCAATCAACCAGACTGTCATGGAGGGCGCCTCGGCAACATTTTACTGCACCGCCACCGGCAACCCAGCTCCAGAGATAACATGGACAGTAGATGGGATGAAGGTTGGATCCGGAGATACGCTGAGCTTTGAAACTAATAGGAATCAAACTGGGAAATACTGGTGCTCAGTGGAGAATGGATTAGATGTTGTCAACGCCAGTGCTGATCTGGATGTTTTGTGTAAGTGAATTGTTAAACTATGAAGAAAATCACGAAAATAAAGCTCCTGAGACTTTTGGTAAGAACAGAAAAACTGCCCGAGAAAGACATGGACGCTTGCATCTGATTGGTTCAGAAGGTGCTGCGTGTTTCCTGGTCCAATCGCAAAGCAAAGTAATGTAAAACCAGTACAATCCAGGATAACCTTTGAGTTTCAATCAAGCATTGTTTTAGGCTCATGGTAAAGAAGGCCAATTACACGTTGGCTACATAGTACTTACCTTTAATTATACCTTTTTCGGTCCAGATAAACCAAGTTTGATCACTAATCCGACAAACCAGACCGTCCTGGAGGGTACCTCAGCGACATTCCGCTGTGTGGCTGATGGAAATCCAATCCCACAAATAACATGGAAGAAAGATGGGAAGACTGTGTCCCAAGGAGACACACTGAACTTTGAAACAAACAGAACTCAATCTGGCGAATATTTTTGTTTGGCAGAGAATGGTTTAAATTCTACTGCGAGCGCCAGCGCACATCTAGATGTTCAATGTAAGTAGCTGGTTTGATTTGAAAGCTTTTTGCCCACGGCTAACT